AAAGAATATTAAAAGTACTGTAGGGTATGTTGACAGTGTTATTTCATATAATTCATGTACGGAAATGTATTTTTCCATCCAACCGAACAGTGTTTTGTTTAGTACTCAATTGAAAATAATAGAGTACCTTCCAATATTAAAGAGGCCGCTGAACTGAATGCAGGGCTCATTATGCCTCAACTAAAGAGGGATTAGATTTGAGAATCCCTTTAAGCCTCCTCTTTCATCAAAACTACAGTAGGGATCAACGTTTTCAAATCCTTTCTAAACATCATAGTTATGATGGAACACAAATAATCTACTTATGTGTATGCATTGTTAGTTTCCTATACAATTTCAATTACTGTTCAACATGGGTTTCATACGCATCATTTAACAATACGAATGACGTTTTATTATTTTAGTATATTTCATAACTAGTCCAGTATTTTTCGTATGTTTTTATTGTAAAGAAACCCTATTTTTTATGTTCAGATGTTTGGCCGAATTTTTATCAAAAGCCCTTTTCTCTTTTCAACAAGCAAAAACAATTTCTCTTCTACTACAGTATTAGTGCTGTTCATATCTAAAATACTGTAACTTATATAAAATAGAGATTTTAAAACAGTTTGAAGGAGAAACCCAATGCTTATGATTTATTTTGTAGCCTCACTGATAAATTGTGTATGAGTTCGTAACGACAAAGAGAACTCTCTTCAGAGTGACGTGATCTATGTGAATTACTAATTAAAGTAGTGACAATTATTTTGAAATGAAAGTGAACTCATTAGTTGTATTTTTCGTTTCTAATTCACATTGTTTAAACAGAAATAGTAATTGAAATGTCAGCCCCTTTGTTGATGACATAGTTACATAGATACGGGATCTATTACGGCTAGAGACCACAGCAAAGGTATTCGCTTAGACTGCTTGTGGCGTCTTGCAAGTTGGCTCTATGATAGCCTGGATAATAGGTAGGATATCACTCAATCCCAATAACTATGTGTCAAAGACTTATGAGTTATAGTTATGTTGTATAAGATAATATTAGGTAGATATTTAGTTGGAATCTTAAGTTGCAGCACTTAAGTATAAGATAGTTGCTAGATCAATCGATGTTTAAATTGGTAGTCAAAAATACTCATCCGAAATAATGTAGAACGAAAATTGACTTAATCTTTTAGTATTTTCTAGATAAGGGAACACAATTTTGATTAAGATTTTGTAGCAAGCGGGGAGATTAAACGCAAGTTACAAATTTCGGACGTCACTATTTTAGATTGATATCCGATAAGGAATGTTTTAGGAAACTAAATATCCTGTTACATGATGGATTGACCTCTCGATCGTTTGAAATAGCTTATGGAGTCTAAAACTACCCGGTTACTGCAAAAATGACCCTATGTAGTTTACAACGGATTCTATACATTATATGGATTCTATACATTCTATACATAGTTTAAAACAGATTTATACGGAGATTGAATTAATCTTTTAGCGTTTTTTTTTTAAGTAGGGAACATGATTTTGATTACGATTTTATAGCAAGCAATGCAACTAACAAGTTTTAAACTTAGCTATTTTAGATTGATGTCCAATAAGGAATTTTTGGGTATGTAATCCCATATGCATTTTAGGAAACCAAATATCCTTTTTCATGATGGATTGGCCTCTCGATCGTTTGAAATAACTTCTAAAACTACCCGGTTACTGCCAAAATAGCCCTATGTAGTTTACAACGACTACAGCCTGTTTCGTGTTGTCAAAAATGGAGCACATCATCAGGTTTGAATGTCTAAGTAATGGTAGATATCCCTCATACTGTTTCGTGTAAACTACCAAGGATCGTTTTGACAGCAACCAGATTTAAAACTCTATTATATCCTTTATATGACAACTCTGTACTGCATAGCTAACTTTCTCACAAACTTCTACAGTAGTTGAAAGTTTGGATGAACACAGACATCAAAAATTTAATCATTTTCTAACGATCTTTTAGTTCTAATAAAAATGTTGATTTAATCCATTTCATTTGGTCCATTGAATGTAACATAGTTTTTCATAAATTATCTCCCCTGTGTATATTTTTTTAATTAAAACGAAACCCTTTTGAGAATGTTCTGAATGGTTAAAAAATATCGTGTGTCAATGGATCGTTTGAACTCACGTAGGAAAAACACGCGCGTTTGGCTGATTTTAGTGGAAGAGACCTAAACAAACTGCTGACAAAAACTAGGGAGAGTTTTCACAAAGCCTCAAACTCCTCTGAAAAGAAGTTTATCTCTTGCAAAAATCCAATTTTTTACAAAAGGGCTTAGTTTTGAGTCACTTAAACACCCATTACATGTTCGTCAGCTTCGTTTATAAAAACAACAAAACATGTTTGTAACATAAATTCTATTAGAAGTTAGATTCAAAAGTTATACAGTATAATGACTCGTTTTGTTTGGTTTTGCAGATTAAAAAAAAAATAATGCTACTAATCTTACCTGCAAGTTTTCTAAGTGAATCGTCGGAAAAAAATACCATCCTCCTCGTAATGATTTTTTGGAGTTTGATACGAATATAAGATAATAAAAACAACTTGAAATACAGAAAAATATAAGAACATTGTATGTATATCAGCGTTAAAATATTACTGTAATCCCAAATAGGGATTGGTGGTGGGGTATGAAAATGTTTAAAAGTGTGTGACTTTACACTGGTCACGTGTACTGAAGGTTATTTGAAAATGTACAGCCAAGAAAAACATAAAAGTCAATAAATTCTTAAAAGTCAATGTGTAGTCGAGGTTGATACAAATTCAAAAACGATCACTTATGGTATCGTTGAACAAATAAAATATGCTTTTTATTTTTCACTGCCTTGTGTAAAATTTAAAATCCCAACGACAGTTCTTGGATGCATCGAAAACATAATTGATATATAGATATAATAAATCTACATATTGTTAAAATAACTAGATATAATCGATAATTTAATCAATATTTCGATCAAGTTATCGATGTTGTAGGTATCTTTTAAAATTACACTTATCGCCAAGTAATCAGACTATTTTACCCACAATCCTCCACGTTAATTACAGACACATTCCCATTGGTTCTCAGCAACAATGTGCTAGATTCCTCCTATCAGGAGCCACAATTGTCTATTGTTTCCCACCTGACAAAGCTGTCATTCGATAACCATCTGATATCAACATGCTTCTCCTTAGGGAGGTTGATACACGACGATCGTGCTTACAGACATTCTCTTTTCGGAAATATTATCTAATCATAATAACACAACATTAAATAAACCGAATATCGACCAGGTATTATTAGTCTAAAGTTATTTGTGTAACTGGTGTACTCGTGCTATGCACTATATTTTTCCTACAGTTACTATAAAACATAAACAATTGTACGTATTTACATGTTATATTTTACCATGTAGTTTCACGAACTAACAAATTATATCCTAAATTAAATTGTCTCACAAACAAATCAAAACCTAAAATGTTTCACAAATTATTAAATCAAAATCTGAATAAAACAGGTTGAAATATTGGAGTTCGGGAAAGTAAAATGAGTGTGGCAAAGTGAAATGAGTGCGGAAAATTATGTAAATGCAGCAATTGGCTACTTTGCGGGCTATAATCAGTGCAAGAAAGGTAACTGTAAGGAAAAGTGTTTTTCTATTGGTAAAGCTGCAAGGTTGAATTTAAAAGCGACCGTCAACGTAACAACGTAAAATTAACCAGGGGGGACTATTATTCGTCACCAGGTATTTGTATGGGTTAATACTGTATATGAATAATCCAAATTCAAACTGTTACAAAAAAAGTGCGTCTGGCAAAAAGACTCAATAGAATGAAAGGACTAGTATACACTAATAATTTAATTAATATATTGCACTTACAAAAGTACAGTTTATACAGTATTTATATTTTATCTCACAACTGTATACAAGCCTAATGTATGTATTGTTGTGTTATCATCAGTTGTCAGTTGAGCAGAGCAAAAGCTTTGCTTGTTGCAAACACCGCGCTTCGCTACGTATCTGTGGCATTGTTTAGGAACAATAGGGGATGATTGCGACTTGGGCCTGCTGACTGGCAAATCTCTCACTGAAATAGTGCCAACTCCTGACGTAACATTGCTGTATAGGTTAAAAGTAGATAGTGTTTCTAAACGTTATAAACTATTTGTAAACAAATTTAGGATTTGCTTCTTTAATTTGTACTAGTTGATCTGTCCGTGCAACGGGGCAAGGAAATAGAATAATTACTGTGGAGACCCACGTCTACTGTAAAAAATAGTTACACACACTCATCTTGGAAATCATACAGGAAGGTCGCAAACTTACTTTTTGCTTATTTATATGAAAGTCTTTTGTGAAGTATTGTGTGATAGAAAAAAACTTATAGTCCTGTAAACATGTATAATGAGAATAATAATAATTAACTCAGGTAAAATCAAACAAACACATTATAAATAAACACAAATATAGCAGCTGTTGCATGGTAAATATTTTAAATGTGGTAAAGTACAGCCTAAAGCTGACCTGGGGGCTTGAGGATCATGACGAAATGATGTGGAAACAAAGCTATCGGCCATTTCAAACTCACAATTCATACTTAAGGATGTCATATTTTGAATATACTACCAGGAATATAATTTATTGTGTTTGAATTATTATATGTGATAACAAAGACAACTAAAGTCTATTTAAATCAGTGTTATGTATTATTGCACGTATCGTTAATGCACAGTAGTGTATAATGTGTTTTACAAGAGTATATTAATTGTTTCTAAACTCATCCGTAAGCTGGGTTTACCCGATGCCAATTGTCAGAAGACAACCACACTCATATGAAATTTTTGGCTTTGTGTAAAAACTTTAGGCCAACTGCCCTCACAATCGCCTTGAAATTCAGTAGACTGAGGACAACGAGGAGGACATATCCGTCCAAAATGTGATGACGGTTAGCGAAGACACCATTTATAGCCACATTTATACATTTATATCCACTTCCTCACCTTCTCCTCGGTAGCGATGGCGAGGTACCTCCTGTGCTGGTCGGGTGGGATGTTGAATGCCTTCTGGGCGTAGCTGTACAACTCGTCCTGGTAGTGGGAGAACTGACCACTGGAAGCACCGACCTTGTTGGTTATCGTGTAGAGGACTTCTATATACAACTGCTCCAACTGAAACACAGTAGGGAATCACTGCAGACATTCATTTTGTAACATAAGTTTGTAATATTGCCTGAGCACCTTTTTGACATTAGGACCTGAGAACGTTTGTGACGAAAGAACATTAGAAGATTGTTGACAGGGGTGCCCAGAGGGGGGGGGACTGTGGCGCGTTTGCGCCACAGGAATTTTTGGGGAGGACTTTTTTTGGGGGCTGTTGGGGGGACATTTTTTGCTAGCTATCATAATGAATGTATAATTTTGTATAAGTAGTCTGAAAAGTTTTCTAAGTAGTTCACCATCAACACCAACAACATTTTGCCATTCGTAATTAAGATTGCTTCTAAGAATGGTAAAAAGAAAAACACACCTTGTCAGGCAATCCTTAATATTCTAGTGTCGAATTTTACTTGATATATATGTTTTGGTGGTTCTTAAACTCCATTATCGTCAGGCTTACATAAAGATCCACTTCTGGAGTTGTCAAGAATACGTTACAAACATTTAATACAAAACACGAAACGTTTACCGATATGCCTATCAATTCACGCGTGTACATTGCCGTCGGCAGGACTGGAAGTAAACTGAATCAGGTTCAGGTTATGGCGGAGACGGACTGACGTGGTCTCTAGTAGATTGTCGTCTGCGTTTTCAACAGCTGATAATGATATTGCACTATTGTAGTATTGTAATGACTGAGAAGAGTGTTGAAAATATTATGGAATTCATAGTTAATCGAGTGTTTTCACTCAAAAATTGTGTGCTGTACCTAGTTTTATGTATTTATAAATTTCAAACTCTTCAAAAGTAATTAATAAATTTCCTTTCGCGCAGTACTGTAGAATTTCGAGACCATTATTTATATCCAGCATATAAATTGGTTATTATTGTCAATAATTTTGAATGGAAAACTCAATTATGAATCCCATTATATTTTCAACACTCTCCTTCGTCACTACAATTAGTCCAATTTCAACTTAGTTCAATTAGTGGCTTTTGATAACACAGACGACAATCCAGAGACCACGTCTTTCCGTCATAACCTGATTCTGTTTTACTTCCAGTCCTGCCCGCGGCAATATACACGCGTGAATTGATAGGCCTATCTGTTATCGTTTCGTGTTTAATGTTTGTAACATATTCTGACGACACCTCCAGAAGTGGATGCTTTTGTAAGCCTCCGATGGTGGAGTTAAAGAACCGCCAGAACATGTGTAGCAAGTAAAATTCGACTCTACCTTACATATATTATTAAGGATTGTCTGACAAGATGCGTTTCTACCATTATTAGTCATAAGAGGCAATCCTGGGGCTATCAAAATGAATTTATTATAAGATTACTTCATCACAAAAACCTTTTATGCTGGTGGCAATCAAGGAATTCTGGGTATTTTGTCCGGCGATTTTTGTAGAAGGAAGCCGAGTGGCGAGCAACAAGTCTGTCCTATTTCTTGACTCTGCCTATAATTTTGAAATAAGATAGCCTACTTTTTGCCAAAGTATTAATAATGCACTTAAACCTGTTTGAATTCTTAAGCCCCGTAAAATTAACGCCACCATATATATTGTACAGTTACAGTACCTACTATGTTGGAGTAGAGTGATTCACCGAGTATATTGTTGTACGTTTTGAAGACATTTTCTATTGCAATACTGAGTAACTGTTGGCTGATAATACAGATTCTGAATTGTAAATTGAAAAACTTCTAATTCGTCCATTGGTTAGATATAATGATATATTGTTAAATGACGTTTACTATTAAATATTTAATTTTGATTATCAGAAAGTTTGTTTTTCTTTCCCTCAACTTTTACTAAATACTTTAAATGCTCGTTTTATGAAGTAAAGGGGAAATTTACAGATAAATTGGCGGGGGGAGGGTATGTTTAAATAAACGGCAGTATAAATGGGGGGGATACTCCTTTGGCTTGGGGGGGATTGCGCCTCTGGGTTTGGGGGGGATGGGCACCTCTGATTGTTGACAACATGGCCTGATAATGTTAAAACAAAACCTATCAACGTTTTTGACAGCGGAACTTTTTCTCTCTCATGACGACACCTAAGAAAGCAGACTTGACGGCAAAGGAGAAATCACCAGGTACATACCATTACGTCAACAGCTCAACAAAATGTAGTTATGCAACATGTTTGGGTAACCCTTACACTTTGTTTAACTGTTGACGTAAAAGTAGGTAGTTTTCTAATTAAACACAGCAGGAGAACATAATCAATTTCAATAATCAGAGAGATTTGTTTTTTTAGCAGGAGGAAGAAATATATAATAATATTGATCAGCCCAGGCTTGGAGCAAATTTTGCACGTACCTGTACCATATCTGATATCTGTAAGAATACTTATAATCCAATATGATGCATGGTTTTTTTTTTTTTTTTTTTTTTTTTTTTTTTTTTTTTTTTTTTTTTTTTGGCAATAGGATATCAGGTGATGTTTTAATAAGGAGCTCATGGTTATTCCCGTGATGCCACATCACGCCACCTGTTCCAACACTGCCTAAATCCCTTCTCTTCTCGTCATTCTACACCATTTCTCTGGTCAACTCTTTGCACCCTTTGTTACTACACTACTTTTGTTAAATTAATTGTCTTTGTTAGGTCCTTCTGAGTAGTTATAATGTAACTTGTGTTATTGTTGTACAGCTCACCCTTAATTCCCAAGTATAGTGGTTAAGTATAAATTATTTTTGTGCGACAAAATAAACAAAAAGATGAAAAGAGACAAATAAACATAAATAATATGAACCACAATGTATTCATACTTGGGCCACCTAACTAAGCATATTAATGAGACATTAATGTTCGAAAATCTGTTTTCATCCATTCCATCGCTGAACAGTATTGTTAAATATTCTATATAGTCCAATAAAGAAAGAAACATAATTTTTACAACATCAAAAATAACATTTAAATGTTAGTAGGAGAGTACCGTAACTACTTAGTGAAACTGTGATTGTAAGTGAGGTATATTTATGTAAAAAATTACTAACTGACTTTTGTTATGTTAATAATATATTGAAACTAAAATAAATACATACTTTGCTATACGTGTATACTTTATTAGCATAATGAAAAACATAAAAAAGACTGTACATGTACAATCTTAAAATCATAAATGCAACTAGATAAAAACACAGAGTAAAATGCTCATATTTTTTACATGGGGAGGTCTTAAAATTAATTGCAAGTATATTAAAAAATCTTTTTAATTTAGCTTTTCTTCTTTCTGTTAAGAAACGTCATCAAAAGGGTGATACGAAACTTTTAATCCAACTCTTAAATCATGTTATCAGCTTTTGAATCGGCTTCCCTGTCTGTAACTCCTTTGGGAAATTACTTCTAAAACGGTCTTATCTAAAAGTCATCTTATTTTCGATAAACTCAAGAAACATTTCATTCTATGCAAATACTACCTCTCTGGAATTGAAAAGCAACATTTACATTTATTTTATGTCATCTGACGAAAGTTTATTTGTTATTTGGTTTTAAAAAATTTTGATGAGATTCTGTATAACATTTTGAAATTTGTCACAGTGAACACGCATTAATTTTCCGTAGTAATGTATATTTTTCGAGCATATGCGTAAGAAATTACATTTATATTAAAATCCACTCCCAGCAGCCTCACAAGTGCATTTCCAAAAATAGTACGCAGGTTTACCACCACAATGTACCCTAAAATTATCATTTGGTTATATATTCATACAATAGACCTACACCGAAATCTAAAGTTTACAGGTGTATATTTGTAAACTATAAATTCACATAAATTATTCCACATAAGAAAAGTATTTCACATAAGAAAAAATATTAAAAGTGTAACATATTTGTCATTTTAATTTTCATGGATACAAGTATGGAATGAGGCTATTCCAATCCGTTTTTAATTTCACATTAGCTCACTAGCTCAAATAGCAGCTCGGAAGAATTTATCCGAATTAATTTGATCGAATAATAATAACTAATAACCCATTTTAGGTCAAGAAACAACTTAAACAAAACATATTTCCCATGGTCCAATTGAGCGGGTTTAAAAACCATATTTAAATTCTACCCAGTCCAAAGAGCCCCATTATACTCTGCATATTTATAACTCACTCTAAAGTAAACAAATGCACTGATTTTCCTTAATAAAGGATAAAGTTGATGCACTATTGTAAAAAACATGGTATAAGTTAAATATCGACAAATTATTACTATTGCAACTCGAACTTGTTACCTCTTCATACATAAGTAGAAATGTTATATATTTTTTACTAAAATGAACGCAACGAATTATGTAAAACGTTACAATGCATACATGTTTAGGTTTGTTCCCAATCTGAAGGTTATTCGGATTGGAGAGCGTGACCGGAATGTACAATCCGACCAAAATTAAACTTTGCAACAACGAAAATTGAGGTGTCAGGTTTGTAAAGGATTTAGTATTTGACTGTCTTAAAAAAAATCTATATGTTTCTTAAATTATCAAGCTACTCACATAACTTATGCAAAAGCTATAAGAAGATTCAATTTCCCAGTTGTTATTTAGAATTAAAATAATAGTATACCGTCACAACTTTTGCTTGAGATAAAACTTTCAGTTTTCATACTTTCAATACCGTTCAATTATTAAAATCTTTGAATATTAAATGACAAACATCAACTATAATATTGTACAAATCTAAAATCAAATATAATATTTTTATAGAAACCTAAATGTCGAAATACATCCACCTGTGAACAAATATAAATGTAATAAAATAAAGCTATAGTGTACATCATAATTTTCATCATTTGTCCTAGCTAAATCGAAAAATACAATTTTATACAATAAAATATAAAAAGGGTTTTTTCTTTTGGCATGAGACAATGATCTAACAGCTGTTAGACAGGCTGACCAACGCAAAGGACTTAATTAAGGCTTAAGATCGCTTTAAGACCACACGTTAACATCAAGTACCTTCCTATTGAAACTCCAAATACCTTGGTGTAATACATTAGAATGATTAACCTAA